TATTATATATATATATATATATATATATATATATATATATATATATATATATATATATATATATATATATACTTTTATTGAGAAAAATATTAAATTCATTGATTCTGAAATTCTATCACTTTGACTCAGAATATGCAAAGCATTACGCGCCAGAAAAAGACATGTTGTTGTGTTTAGCGGACATTAAAATGGGTTTCTTTCATTTGCCAAAAATCGACATTATATAAGCTTGCGCTGAGCCAACCACAATCGTTTGCGGGAACTTGCGAAAAGTAAAAAGTCCCTTTCTTTCTTTTTCTCCCACCGTAAATTGCACACGGCGATCAGCTTTTTTTCTGGTGTGTTTCTCGTTACAATAAGACTCATTCCTTACCCTCCCCAAAACGAAGCCCTCGCAACAAGTTTCCATTTCATAATTCTAAACACGACTCAAACATGTGTACGAGTCTGTCACTGTCATTTTATATACGAACTACACTTAAACATTTCTTCCTTATTTTTTGTTTGGTAGATATATATTTTTTCCTGTGTATGTCACACTAAATGGTTCAGTTTTATATACTGGTTGCATCCAGACTTTCTCACTCTTTCTCTCTAAATCTAACAACAACAAAAACAATATATATTGTAATAATAATATTAGACGTTTCCTCATAAGGAAACATTCGGTATTCATTTACGAAGAAGACCAGTTATAATCGTCATCAACACTACAGAAAATAAAAAAACAAATAACAGCAAAATCAATAGGAAAGATCAGCAACTTCTATGAACTCTAATGACTATAGTATTATCTGACGTTTCCTCATAAGGAAACATTCTGTATTTATTTAGGAAGCAGAACGGATATACTCGACCTCAAGAACAACTGAAAATGAAAGTCGCTTGTGGAATTTTCTTCCGGTTTCTTGCTTCCCATACATCTTTCATCTTCAATAATTTAAATTCAATGTCAATAATTATCTTCTCTTCTTAATTCTTAATCCCTTAATGTCCTCTCTCGTTAACATTACTCTTTATATTCTCTAACACTCACTAACCAGTTACGTCTTAGTGACTTTATTGCCTTGCTCAGAGTTTATTTATTTAAACTTGTTTAGGAGGATATCAACGTGAATGTATTATTTAATGCCGAAATCTAAATATTTATACAATTTTTTGACTTAACTAAAGATTGTGTGAACGCAATTGTATGCCTTTAACTATAAATAAAATGTATTGGTGGTCATTTTTTTTTATAAAATGTATTGTTGGTAATTCCATATCTGTCTATATTTCTGAGATGAGGTATTATGTACACTATTTACATTATTCGAACTATTATCCTCATCTTTGTCTCCATATTTATCAGAACGTTTCGGCCTTTCAGTGTCTGTCTATATTTCTGAAATGAGATATTATGTACACTATTTACATTATTCGGACTATTGTCCTCATATTTGTTACCATATTGATCACAACGTTTCGGCCTTTCAGTATCTGTCTATATTTCTGAGATGAGGTATTATGTACACTATTTACATTGTTCGGACTATTGTCCTCATCTTTGTCGCCATATTTATTACAACGTTTTGGCCGTTGTACGCTCCGGCCTTCTTCAGGTGGTTGGAATGTCGAACTGAACCTTTTATTTCGCTCACTGGAGTAGACTGTTCTAGTTCCATGTGCCATGTTTTAATGGATGAACACATGGCAGAGTGGATAAAGGCGTTAGTTAGATCCAGTGACAGGACCCAAAGAGTGTGAGTTCAATACCCGGTTAAAGCAGAGAGAGGGCAATTAACAGGAGATAATTGATAACTGACATCCATTAAACATGGCACATGGAACTAGAACAGTCTAACCCTGTGAGCGAAATAAAGTGTACAGTTCGACATTCCAACCACCTGAAGAAGGCCGGAGCGTACAACGGTCGAAACGTTGTAATAGATATGACGACAAGATGAGGACAATAGTTCGAATAATGTAAATAGTGTTGATTAGTCTACTATAAAATGTATTTTTGGTCATTTTGCTTGAAAATATATTTTAATATAAATATCATTTTTTTGGCAATATTTACGATAAAATTTATTTTCATAATTTCATAGTGTTTTTTTTTTGGTGGGGGGTAACTATTTACCCATAGCTGGGGTACTACCTAGTGATACAACCCCACGTCAGGGTGGACCTGGGAACGAAAGCAATTGAGAGATAGTTGCATGGCCTTCCAAACCTCCACTTTTCCGATCAGAGGCCTTGCTTGGAGTGAAATGATGAAAAAAATCCATGTCAAAAGAGAAAACTAAGACGTAAATCTATATATAAGAGAGGGATGCTGCATAATGGCGGGAGGTTGGGTGGCAGCTTAAATTTAGAGATGAAGGATTATTGTTCATGAAGTATATTTGAGTTAAATAAATGCACTTAACTTTTTTTTTTAAATCTCTTTCTTTTCCATTAAAAAAAAAAAATCGAAAAATTTAAAAAGTTAGAAAACGGTTCACATAAAAAACACAAAGCAAAAACGACGTTTGATGGTAGGAAAACTGGTCGGAAATTTTATCATGCCGATTAAGAGAAGAGCAAGTAAACAATAGAAATAAAGAGAAAAAGAGAAAAAGAAGAAGAAAAGAAACTACAGTGTAACCCGGATATAAAAGACCCGGATATAAGAGAAACCCGGATATAAGAGAGATTATCTCTGGTCCCAAATTAGAGTCCATACTTACCTAAACAAAATAGACCAAACCCGGATATAACAGAAACCCGGATATAAGAGACTTCTTCTCCGGTCCCGACAACTCTCTTATATCCGGCTGACACTGCACTTCTTCACTTCGCCACCAATATGGACTAATTATTAAGACGTATATCTTTCTTTCTTTTTATATGCCATGTCCTTCCAGGACGTAGGCGATCATGGCTCTCCACCTCCTTCTATCCGTTACAGCTCTTAAAAATTCCTTCCTCTGCCATCTCTCCCAGACTACGTTGTGTCATCGAGTTGCTTAAAACCACTAGGTATATCATACGTTGTTTTCCTTTGTCTCTCTTTCCCTCTACTCGGCCCGTGAGTATCAGATTCTCCATGCCTTCCTTCCTCATTATGTGTCCCTGAAACTTCATCTGCCTCTTCCTCATGTTAAGTATAAGCCGCCTCCTTGTTTGCATCCTCTCTAAAACCTCACCGTTGCTCACACGCTTTGTTCATGAAATCCTTAGCATCCTCCTGTAGAACCACATTTCCGTGGCCTTGAGTCTCTTCTTCATCTTTGAAGAAATCGTCCAAAATTTGCTGCCGTAAAGAAGGACAGATGTCACGTAACAGCTCAGTATTCTTTTCTTTGTTACCAAAGAAATCCTTCTGTCTCGCAATACTCTGTCCAGCTTTTGTAATGCGTTCTTGGCCATCCCAATACTTCTACGGATCTCAGTGTCGCATTTACTGTCCTCTGTCAATACACTTCCCAGATATTTAAACTTCATTTAATAAACTAACAGCAGAAATAAAACCTTTTCGGTATTCTTTTCTTTATTATCAAAGAAATCCTTCTGTCTCGCAATACTCTGTCCAGCTTTTGGAATGCGTCCTTGGCCATCCCAATACGTCTACGGATCTCAGTGTACCACTTACCGTCCTCTCTCTCTTTCTCAAAAAAAAGACTCATATCACTAAAACTTATTCTTACAATATAAAAATATTTTCTTGCTTCAAGTAACCTGCATAAGCCGTAATAAACGAATTAATAAATCAATGAAATTCTGATCATCTACACATGCATAATTTATTTACATTGCCTGGAATATAAATGAATAAGTACAATGGAAACAAAGAGAGGGGTCAGTTAATACAATGATTTCAATATAGAATTGATCCCCAAATTTATATCGTCATTATGTTTACTGTGGAGCAATGGATAGCGGCTCGGATTGAGGGATCGGAGAGCCGAGTTCATATTACTGTGACACCATTTAGGGCTACAAGGTAAAAAAAAAGAAAAAAAGAGAGACGAGAGTTAAACTTAGATGATAAAGGAAAGCCATCACAAAAGGGGCATTTAGCGATGTTATTTTGATAATGAATAATGGTGAAAATTTTTATGGCTATTGTCGTAAAGCTAACTGAAAAATTCCAGGTGGGTCAAATAACCAGATACAGAGTTTTGAATGGATAAAAAATTAACTGTGTCATGGTGGCGAACTTATATTATCGGGAAAAGACTTTCCGTTGACCGAGAAATAAGAATGTCCTGACCACACACAAAGAGAACCCAACCCTAGGTTAAGTCTTTGTCGATGGGAGGGTGTCATTGAGAGAAAAGACATCTGGGTTGTGTTGGAATTTGACTATGACAGCGAAACAATATTTTCAGAAAATGGCGAAAATTTCGTTGACTGGCGAAGTCGTTTCATCGTATCAGTGGTTGGCGCCGGAGAGTGAGTGTGTCTGGTTGACCAGCCACTTGGTGCTGGCGAAAATCTGATTGACGAATTCCATATGAAAGTGACATTGGGATAAGAATTGAGATTATCACACTATGGGTCGTATTGTTCTGTTGACGGCCAGAGAAGAGGAGAGAAAGAAAAGAAAGAAAGGAAATAGAAAAAGAAAAAGTGGAAATATATTTTTTTCTTTGAGGAAGATAATTTTTTTAAAAAAACAAGGCTAGTCTGGTCACACCCGGAGGTGATCATGTGATGCAGGTGGGGGGGGGCTGCCACCACCCACTGAGGGGATAGGTATGAGATGTTACTGCGAAGGAGTGGGAAAACCGTTGATGCCTTCTGAGGGTATGGTGAGATACCCATATGAGAACAGAAGGTGGTAGTAAGAGAAGACTTCCAAAAATGGAAATAATCAATTTTTCCTGACCGAAAACAAAAGAAGGGGATTGTGGATTATCAAGGAACCTCAAACCCCAACGAGCCCATCCCGTTTTGGGTCGGCGTCCATATAAGCAAAGTCGCAGCGAGCGAAAATCTGTTCGAGTTGAGTTCCAGATCCAGATCCGGTTGGAATTGGCAATTGGCAGACCGCCTCGCAGAGCTGACTTGTAAGATTCACGCAATTCCGGACTCATCTTCAAACCAAGAACAATTTATTTTTGAAGAACGACTTAGACTCATACCACCAAAACAAGTTTTACGAATATCGCCTGAAGACACACCAAGAACCAGTTTCTTAAAGGACAGACAACTTAAAACAACGTGTCACGTATCCATATAGCGGGTTGGGAGAAAGACGTAGTCCTATATTCAGCAACCAGATATAAAATATTGTTGTCCTTTTTTAGCGCATTTGAACTTTTCGAGTTATTATTTTATTTTCTTTTGCATATACTTGTGCGATATTGCCCTTATTCGAACTTGCATTACGGCCCCAGCGACTGATTGATTTCGTCTGCCTAGATCAATTCACAACGTGGGTAGGCAGACTTGAGATCAAAGTAGTTACTTCGGTAACCAGACGTTGGAGGCGAGTTGGGAACGACGAGGCTGATATCGAATCTAACCAGATTCCCATCCGAATCACCAAAAGGTTGGAACGTCACATTTGGGTGCCGCGACCAATACCAAGCCAGTTGGTCGTCACAGGACGGGATAGCACGACTGACGCAGACAGTCGGACGTCACGTTTGGAGCGGCGACACACGAGAGGGGGGCTCACATTCCAGTCAAATCCATTACATTCACTTATGTGCTAATACCCTTTGGAAAGGTATGGATCCCATTCTACCCCCAGCTATGGGTAAATAGCAGGCAGACCGGGTTCTATAGCCTTGGATAGCAACCGGTATACCGCAGAAATAAGTAGCAACTTACTGCAGGAAAAAAATCTGCCTCGTTAGTTATGTATCGAAAGATACATGATCGCTTACGCGTGTATCACGCATGACATAAATGACTGATAAATCCACCTCTACTCACCCAGATATTGGCTAATTTTTAAGACTTGCATCAGTAAATCGTTAATTATTTAACAAAAAAAAAGAAGTCTTATTATCTAAAAATATTTTCTGGCTTTAAATGGTTAAACTGGGTAGAGAACAGATGATTTGGAAAGAGTTAGATGAGTCTAATGATGATTACCAAGGTACAGCCTCTCAGAATAGTCAATCTGATTGTTCTAATAGGAAAAGAACTAAATTTGTTGGCGTGGGCCTAAGACAAAACACGGTGATATTTGGAGTGATGACTAGTGATGTCAACGTAAAACCTCCATTCATCGCCCCACATGGTCTTAGACTCAACATGGGGGTCTACATCAAGTGCTTTGAGGGGGTAGTGCTGCCCTGAGAGAAGAAGGTGGGTGCTGGACGACCCTATGACTGGCAAAATGATTCTGCTCAATGCCACACAAGCAGAAGAACCATGGTACGGCTGTCAGACAATTTCTACCACTATATCAACCATTACATCTGGCTACCTAACTCCGCACACTGCAAATCTCTTGATTATTATCGGTGGAGCACAATTGAGCGAGAGACCAACAAAACTTCTTGTAACGCATAAGATGAACTGAAGGCAAGGATTTTGACAGAATTCACCAAATTAAACAAGGAGACAGTCCAGAAGTGATGCAGGAGATTCTGAACTCGTCTCGAGGCCGTGGTTGGAGTCAATGACGATTTTATTAAATAAATTTACTTTTTAGTGTTTCAAGATGTTTTGGTTAATATATCTGTTAAAATGAGATATCAATATCATCTTCATTTTTGCGCAAATCAGACGACAATTTATTCATCGCTCCCTGCGTATTTGTCAAAAATATTACTATCTGCGTGTTTTATTTGTTTGTTTTTTGTTGTTTTTTAGTTACTTGTTTCTTCTCATATGGATTTTGCATTCTCTCTTGAAAGTAAGAGACTCTCAGGTTTCCAGCTCGTAGGGACGATTATATACCTACTATTCACACATGTGCATTTCCTATGCGCGTCTGAGTCAGCCGCGTCTTAAATCAAGGGGTTACAGTGCGAATCGACACGTAGTACGTAGGCCATTTCAGGTCGACCCACCGATGCACCTGACTTCTCTGAATCCTTCTTACAAGTCAATTTGAGACGGGTCACATAACACAGAACTGACTGAATTGTCTGTGAACAGACGTCTGCAACGGGGTTACGTAGCTGCGTTAGCAGAAGAGCATGCTAGGAAATGAAGAATTTGCCATTCCTTACATCTTTATTTGCAACGATATAATTTCTTTAGATCTTCATTTTTTGTGTTGTTGTCTATTTATCTGAAAATATTTCTCTCTTCTTTTATTTTTCTTTCTGCATAATATATATATATATATATATATATATATGTATGTAATTTCATTATTTATAATCTCATTGATTGAGTGACGCTTCTTTTTTTATTCTTCCTTCACTTTTTCTTTTTTCATTCGTTTTCCCAATTGACCTCAATTATTCGACATTTAACCCCTTCCTATCTATCATTTCTTCTTGCTTCCCTATTTACCTGTACGTGTTACTGACGAGACAATTGAGAAAACACGAAGAAAAAAAATCAGTAAGAAAAAGAGACAAAAGCTCTACTTGTCACGCATGCGTACTTTACCGGCATGAAGAGTTCTGAAAGAGCGACTGTTCACAATAACTGGCCATCGTTTCTTTTTATTTTCCTCCCGCTGCTACTTGCGCCCATTCACGTGTGTATAAGCGTCTTTCTGCGCATGCGTGGGCCTTTTTGATAGTTTTTTTTTCTCGATTCAATTTATATTGTTAACTATTATTATACGGTCAGTGTCGTGTTGTAAAATTGCTTTTCGTCTGTCAGAGGTTCGTATTAAATGTTAATAACGCCAGACAATAAAAGCATAAAAAATAAACAAGCATATCGTAATTCGCAAGTGATTTACCCGTAAAGCAATTGTTTGGCTGAAGGAGAAACATTTTGATAATAACTGGAAAGAACTGCACAAAAATGGATTAACAGAATCATATCTGCACCAACAAGAACAAACTCGAACCATGATGATTTTTTTTTTAATGACGTCTCTTCATTCTCCATATATTCTGTTCCTTTATAGTTTGTTATTCGACATGAATAATCGATCTGTTTTTTTTACGGCTTATCACTCTTTTGAAGGTTATTTAAAAGCAGAAAATATTTTTTTTAGATTGTACGATTTTGTTTTGAGTTAATAATGATTTACTGGTACAAGGTGTACTAAATTAACCCATAGCTCGAGGGGAGAAATGTTGTGTCCCTTGCGCTTACGTGAATATAACAAAGCCGAATCAAATTGGAACTCAGCTCTCTAAGCCGTTACCCATTACATCAGCTCCACATCCAAGTTTACAACACCTGATGTTCCCAAGAGGTCACCCATTGAGGTAATTACCAGACTCGACCTTGCTTAACTCTGCTTCAACGTGATATTTTAGTAAGCCGAAAGTCAATATAATTTTATTTAATTTTTGTTTTGTTTTGGAGGAGTGGCGAAACAAACTCAGTGTTATTATTAAATCTGATTGATTTGTTTGTTTTTTTACGGCTTATTAACTTTTGGTAGTCTATTTAAAGACTGAAAATATTTTTATAGTCTAAGAACATTTTTATGATAATAATGGTTTACTAATAGAAGTCTTATTAATTAACCCATAGCCGGGGAAAAGAGTTGGATTCTAAGCTTTTTCAAGGGTATACTGACTGAATCTGAATCCGATTTTCAATTTCGAGCCATTATCAATTACACCACCCGCACATCCAAGCTGACGGCATCTGGTATTACCAAGCGGTCAGTCATCTCGGTATGACCAGGTTCGACGTTGCTTAACATCGGTGATCGTACTAACTTGGCCGTTAGCTCTATTCAGAATGAATTGAATGACATTCGAAAATACCTGAAATCTAATGATACACGATCGACCTCTGATTACAATTTTGAAAAGTCTTAGTTAGGTTGTTGTATTGTGATTCAATTCAGTCGTTAACTTGATACTCTTAAGTATGGATGTGTTTACTGATCAAAAAATATAGCTAGCTAAAATTTTAAACACCACGCTGACGCATGTTAAAATCCTCACATATTGTTGAAGTTATCGCTAAAAAAAAAAATGCCGGCATTTACAAACCCTGCATTTCGTTCACTTTTGCAAACTAATCGATGAAATTTGAATAAGCTGATTTGTTTGTGAAAATATTTGGCAAAACCTTATTCGTAGTTTAATAATTGCTTTATTTAATTTAATTTCACAGGACTTCATTGATAAACAATATTTTTAAGAATATTTCTTCTTTTTCCTTTTTACTTTTTAACAGTGAAGAATAAATTCTTAGTATTTCTTAATCTTGAGCAATCAACCTAAAACTGTCCAAGCGGAAATTTTTTTTCCTGGAGCCAAATTCCAAATATTTGAAGCATTTGGCTTTATTTACATTATTCAAAGATGAGGACAATAGTCCGAATAATGTAAATAGTGTACATAATACCTCATCTCAGAAATATAGACAGATACTGAAAAGCCGAAACGTTGTAATAAATATGGCGACAAAGATGAGGACAATAGTCCGAATAATGTAAATAATTTACATAATACCTCATTTCAGAAATATAGACAGATACTGAAAGGCCGTAACGTTGTAATAAACATGTCGACAAAGATGAGGACAATAGTCCGAAAAACATAAATTGTGTACATAATACCTCATATCAGAAATATAGGCAGGAATTTGGCCTTGTTAATTATATTGTCGAAATTCCAACGAGTTAAGTAAAATAAAAGAAAATGCCTCTTTGTTGAAAGGTATCTATGGGGTGGGGCTTGACTGAAGTTCGTAGCTGCGGTTAAGACATTTGATGCCTCTTCTCCATTGAGAGAAAGGAAAAAGATCATGTGGTGAACTTATTTTGTATGTTAAATAATAAAACTTAATTTTTCCACAAAAATTAATGAACATTTATTGTACTAAGCTACGTACCCTAGAAAAAACAAATCTACTTTGTACCCCTTTACCTGTCTGCCCTTTAAAAGGCTCACTCACAGCCACACGTTACCACCGTTGTTAAATAAACGTGGCTTGAATTGTTTTAGACTAGAATCTTTTTGCATCACGCTGACGCCTGTTGGAATTCTCACAGTATTTAGTATTGTTCAAGTTATCGCTAAAAAAATTGTCGAGATTTACAAAGTCAACATTTTGTTCAATTTCACAAACCAATCAATGAAATCTGAATAAGCTGATTTGTTTACAAAAATACTTTGACAAAAGACTTACTTGGCGTTTTAATAATTTCTTTAATTTAATTTAATTTATAGGACTTCATGATAAACAATATTTTTCAAGAAACTTTATTTTTTCCTTTTCAAAAGCGAATAATAAATTCTTATGATTTCTTACTTTCGAGCATGCAGCATACAACTGGTCATGCGTAAATATTTCTTTCTGGAAGAAAGCACTAATATGATATACATTGGGTCCACGAAGAATAATTTTAAAGATAGATGGAGGCAGCATAAGTGCTCCTTTAATAATATAAACAAAAGAAATCAGACTTCTCTATCAAAATATTTTTGGCACCTGAAGGAAACAATTAGGACACCAAAAGTTAAATGGAAAATTATTGACAAGGCTAGAACATGTAAAGCTTGGGATGACCCATGCCCTTTGTGCCTCCATGAAAAATTGCACATTATTAAACTTCTAAATAATAATAATCTATTAAATAATAGACACGAGTTAACGGTTTTTTGTAGTTATCGTCAGATTTTTGGTTTGAATTATTAGATAATTTATATAACTTGTTTAACAAGTAGCCCAATCATCATATTCATAGTAGGAATAATTAATTACAAACATGCATACAACATAACACCCTTCATAATCCATAGCCCAAATAAGTAGTTTAAATACCTTACATAAAAGATAACCCTTTATGAAGTCGTCAAAAAACAAACGTTACGAAAGTTTTTCTTTTTTTTTTTATATGCACAATTCCCTTTCATAATAAAATAAAATAAAATAAATAAATAAATCTCCATAGACAAGCAAACAAGACGAAGGTTAATACATCTTCCGTTTCAATTTAGACACCCCCACCTTTCCCTGACTTGACATCTTGAAAGTATCTCTATACCGCTACTTATTATTAACACCCTACACTCGCCTACCCAATTTAAACAATTCGCCCTAGCTGTTACCATGGGTATTTTGATTTTAATTTTTAAAACAAGTAAAGTATACGTTATTCCAACAAAAAATTCGCTTGAAGATGGAACGGAGCCCATTTTAATTTAAACTCAATTTAATTTAAAGGATTATATTGTAGTTTTCGGCTCTTGTTTTGAAACATGAGACCTCTTATCTAGCGATTTGGAATCATATTTTAAATAAATAATTATATATATATATATATATATATATATATATATATATATATATATATATATATATATACATACATACACACACACACACACACACATATATATATATATATATATATATATATATATATATATGTTTCATTAAATAATATACACAAGTTTTGTCTATTTATTTTAATTAAGTTCCTTTCATATTGCCTGATAAACAGCCATAGCTTAATAGCATTATCATTGAAAGACGAATGGACATCACCATATTGATACATGTTTAAATCCAATCTAAGCATTCGGCTTACATAAGCCATTATCAAAGATGATAATTATATTTCAATATATCAAACAATACACGGACGAAACAATAATGATAGTCTGCTTTTGTTGCATGAAAACTTTCAAAGCAACGACTAACTCGTGTAATGAAACATGCATCAATGAAAAATAAATATATATATATATATATATATATATAGTGTATTTATACTTGCTTGATTGACCTACAATTTGTAATTTACATATTGACTTTCTGTTTTCTGACGACCATACATTCTGTCTTCTTACAATTGATATTTAGTCCTTTCTTCTCGCTTTCCTTTATCGTTTTCTGTAGTTTTCTTTCTGAATCTGCTATCAACACTGTGTCATATGTATATCTACGGTTGTTAAGATTGAGGCCGCCAATCAAAGGTAGAACATCAAATTCCCTCAGGCTTACTTCCTAGTAAAGTTTGGTGAGAAGATATATGTGTTTTACATCGCTTTCTACTTTTGTGTATTTATTGCATTATTTTTCTATCTGCATGGAGGGAGGTTGATCCTAGTGTAAGTCCTTGATTATTTTTATATCCCTCATAAATATATCAAGCTTACCTAACAGTTCGAAAATTTTCTAGGGACGTACTTTATCAAACGCTTTTCCATAATCTATAAAATATAGGTGTAATGACAAAAATACGCAGGGTTAGGGTTAGGGTTAGGGTTAGAAATCATTAAGAAATCATTATTCAGCTGAGTTTACAAGGTTCGCGTATAGTGTCATTTTATAGTCCCAGTAAACAGAAATAGCCCTCTCAAAGAGGAGAGTAACAAAACAAGAGGAGACCACTCTTGATTGTTTATATCAATAGCTACACTTTTTTTTGCATTTTTATTGTACTTTCTACATCTGAACTCAAGGAAAGA